AGCAGTTCCAGATGCCATGTAGAGAAGACAGTTTTCCACACTACTTTTCAACAAGGCTTTAACATAACAGTTTGGTTTTTTCCTTAGATGTCTTTGGAACTTTCACGTCCCATATACATTGCTTGTTTTGTTCTCATCCTTCATGTAGTTAGTGCTTTAGTTCTTTTTTTATATATATTAGCTGCATCTTTCGCTTTCAGGACCAAATCGTTCCATTGGCATTGAAGTTAAAAGAGAAGACTGGAAGACTGAGATCTGTGTTGTTGATGTATATGGCCTGCGACTTTGATAAATTAAGAAGGATTCTGTATTTCTGAAAGTCTTTTTCTGTGACCAATGTATTCATTTCTAGTCTACGGCTACAGTTCTAAGTTGTTTTGAAATGTGAGATTAGTCTTTTTTAACTGATTATAATTTATGAGTTTTTGCACAACTGTTTTTCAGTTATAGAAAAGCTCCATTTATTATTCTTAAACTTCTTGTATCTTTGTAACAAGACTTGTCTTTATGATAACTGTTCTAGTTTTTCCGTAGTAGCTGTGTACCAGACTGGTAAGATTAGAATTTAAGACTAGTAAAGCTTATTTACAAGCTAATTTACAAAGCTCCTTTTCCACACTAAAATTCCAGGTCATGTATTCTCTCTGCAGGAAACAAAAGGAGAGTTTGGAGGATTGAGGTCTGTACAGCTGTCTGTAAAGACTCAGTACTTAGGTAGCATAAAGAAATAGTACTAAAGCAGTCTATTGTGGTTGAAAGTCAGCAACACGGTGCTGTTACACTTGATGGATTCAGAAACACTGAAAAGACCTCCCTCTAAAAAAAAACTAGCCGTATCTTAAAAGGAATAAGTGTGTGTGTTGGAGGTGGAGAAGGTCTTTCTATTTGTCATATTTCTATTTGACATATTTCATTTGTCTTTGGATTTTTTTCTTTTTAAGCATTTGTAACTGATGCGTTGGGGTTATCGTGGCCTTTTTTTTTTTCTTGATTATTTTGGGGTGAGATAGGAAAGAGGGAGTGTGCTGTGAAGAGGTGGGACTTTGGTAAATTGAATAACAACAAAAAGGGCTGAGTATTTAAGAAAGTGAAGTTGGTACTTGCTTTGGCTTAGGGAAAAATTAGTTTGTTACTTAAGGTTGAGCTAAAACCTGATTTCTTATGAAATATGTAAGCAGATATTTGTGAGAACCTTGTGAGAGTTGTCAACTATGAATAAAAATTGTGATTGTTTTAGTTTGCAAAGGTATTTTAATTTGTAATTTTTTATTTATTTTTTTTTTTTTTTGTCTCTTCCCTCTGCCCCCCCCCATCAAACTAAGTAGGAAATAATGTAATTGTTTCCAGAGAGGGAAGAAGGAATGTAGATTTTGAAATTTCAGAGTTTCTGTGTTTGGCAGAACTGTTTTAACACATTTTAATAAAGTAGGTATTAACAGAGAACACGTAGGATGTTCATATTATTCAGTTCTACTGGGACATGGCTTTAATAAAAAACAATGTTCAGTATTTGTATTTTGATGTATGCAACAGCATGGGTTGTTTTATGGTATATAAGGCTTTTTATAAAAACCGAAACCAAAAAACTAATACTTAAATAGCTATTCATTCTTAGTAGAATGGACAACTCCAGAAAAAGGTGGTAGTAGATTTGAAAACAGTATTTTGAGAACTATGTACATCTGTGTATAAGAGTTTTTACTTCATCTTACTAAATATTCTTATGAAATCTTAAATATATTTAGTAATGGAATTGTTTGGTGCAGAGCTTAAATTTTGACATAGTTCAACAAATACGAGGAGATCAGGTCTAAGCATAGTGAAACCCCATTAGGCAAGCTAAGGCAGTGCTGCTTCTGCCAGTGCAGAAACAGCACATGCACATCATCTCCTTGCCATCCTCTGCTGTGTGCACTTGCTGTTTCCTCTGCATCAGCTCTAGTGTTCATCTGACCACTACTCAGTTTGAATAAAACAGTGAAAAGCTGATGTAGAATCTTCTTTTGCTAAATGAGTTTGCTGAAGAGTGAGAGACTGGATGACCTGAAGGTGGGAAGGTCAAGTAGGTCTCTGACATACTCCTTTAGATTTTAGTCATAAGCACATATTTTTTGTAGATTCTGTTTAAATTGATTTGACTTATTCATAATTTGGATTTGCGAAGGCTGTTTTGTTTGTACTTGCACATCTGTGTTCTTCCTAAGGATTTTAGAAGCCACTAATAAGTTAATTTTAAAATACCAATCACTAATGCTTACAGGGGGGAATTTAGCCTGTCAGAATATGTAAACCACTGGTATTTTTTTTTTAGATTCAGAAATATTTTCAGGGTTCAGAATGGTCAGAACAGGGAAGAAATGATGGTCAGTATGTAGGTGTACATAGCTCAAAACCATGAGCCCTAAATAAATGCTTCTGTCACTGGAAAAATAAAATTACTTTCTAGATTATTTAAACCCATGTATTTCTGACTTCCACAGTTCAAGATGAGTGTTTTATTCCAGTAGTTGTAGCTGTGTCAGAGTATCAAAACAGTACAGGTAGTCTTTAGAATGCATGGAGTCAAGGGACACATAAGATTGCACAGTGCGCCATTCACCAGGCATTCAGCTTTGGACTGTACTCTTGAATGTTGCAGTGTACTGTTTTTCCCTGTGGGGTAGTATCTTTGCTCATGTGCTGAGAATCGCCTTTTGCCATATAGAAGCTATGAATTGTAATTGGGTTTAATTTTTGGGTACAGGATGTAAAGTAAAAGAAAGAAGTGGGATAAAAGGGAAAGGAAAATGTAGTGGAAGAGAAAAATTAGGATTTTAGATTTAAAAACCTCTGGGTAGGAGACTGTTGAGCTATGATTTTAAAAAAAGTTACAAACAACATATTTTTGCAGGATTTTACTCCCTCTGCCAATTTTAAATTGGAAACTAAGTCCCATAAATTTGGACTTTTACCTTGAAAATAAAAGCCATAATTAAATGTAGTTTTTAGTCTGTTAAAATCCCAAAAAGCAAATGATAGTGCAGGGAAGATTTTTTTTTTTTCCTGATTCCTTAACTCACTAAGGAGGGCACTCACTAAAGCAGTGGTGCTCGTAATACTAACAAATGTAGTACTGTGGGCATCCTCAACACCAGTTGGGCATGAGCCATGGTTGTGTGTGATACAGTACACTATGACGTGCCTTCTTAACACTGAAATGTTTTCCTTTCTTCTGGCATATACTAGTTGTTTAACAAAAGGCATAGTTATGTCACTGATATCTCACTTCATGAAATAATTACTCATTTAAAGCATGTGAAATATTCCCCGGAGGTCAATGAGAATACTGTTTCTTAATCTTTCTGATTTACCGTGAGTTAATTACTTCAGTGTTTACTGACAAAAATTACATTAAAAGTTTGGGGTTTTTTCCTCATATATCAAATACTTACAGCATATACAAAGAGGAGGATAAATGTTTTAAACTTCCTGATTATACAATATTTATTTTTTTTCAATTTACTTGATATTGTCAGTTTTCAGCACAATGAAAGTTTGTAAGTTTAGGCAGCTTTGTGATCTTGACATAATTTCAGGAATAGCTTTGCAGCTACCTATTCATGTGAAGTTAAGGGCACAGTGGGCCTTTGAAGCTGACTTCATATATTAGAGTGTAGAAAGTTCTGAAAGTTAGAATTCTTATTACTAAATTAGTTGTTGTATCAGGTCTGGCTGAGCTTATTTTCCTATTCCAGCCCTCCTGGTACAGTGCCTTTGTGCTGAGAGTTGGAAGGGTGTTGGTAACACCCATGTTGTGACTACCCCTGAGCAGTGCTTGCACAGCACCAAGGCTCACTCTGACATTCCCCCCAAAGTGGGATGGGGGTTGGAGCTCTGGGGGGAACATAACCAGGACAGCTGACCCAAACTGACCAAAGGGGTATTCCAGACTTTGTGACGTCAGCTCAGCTCTAAAGCTGGTACAGAGAAGGGGGTGTGCATGTGTGTGTGCGCGACTCCTTGGTACTCTGGAGCAACCACTATGTGTTTTGGAGCACTGCTTCCAAAGGAAGGGACCAGACATCACCTGGGAGTGGGAAGTAGAGATAAATTTTTGTTTTTTTTTCTTCGCTTCTGTGTGTGGCATTGCTTGGCTTTTGCTTTCTAATTAAACTGCCTTTGTTTTTACCTACAAGGGGTTTGTCTCCATCTTATTTTCCTTTCCCCTCTTTGCTCTCCAGAGGAGGGAGCGGAAGGGAGGAGGATGATAGAGTGGCTTGGTGGGCATCTCTTGCTCATCCAGCGTTAACCCCCCACAGTTAAATGAAATAATTAATTTACTAAGTTGATCGACTGGTTACTTTTGGTGTGTATAACTTCTGTGCTTGTGGTCCATTCTGTGTACAGTATATCAGCCTTTTTTTTTTTTTTTTTTTTTTTATGTTTTTAAAACTTTTTTCTTTTTTTTTAAGGTGTTCAAACTGATTTCCATTAGTTGTGTAGCTGCAGCCAAGGCTCGGAACTTCTGATCCTGAATTGTTGCCCTCATTATCCCTGAGTTCTCTTAATCTTGTGTAATTGCTAGGACTTGGTATGCTTGACATTTCTCTTTAGGTCAGGCAAAAATAAATAAGTATTTTTTCTGGACTTAACCTCAGTATGTGCATTGGTAACCTGCACAGAGTAGTTTTTACAGTGCTTCCACTTGCAGAATTACCTTGGGTAGCGACAGCTGATACTGGAAAAATGAACTTAGTCACAAGAGAGGCTTCAATAGGTTGCAGTTTAGATAGGGATTATTTTTGAGAAATGTGAAGAAATTTAGTATCCGAATCCATAATTCCACATACCTACATTTTCTGTATTGTCAGTCTGACTTATGTTTTATGTTTTATATCACACTAATGTTTCCAGTAAATCTCCATATTTGTACAGTTTGTTTCCTTTGACAGTTCAGCTTTTGGGGGATGAAGGGTTTAGTTGTACTATATATTCAAAATATTTGCTGTTTTTTATTCCAGTTATCTAGAAAAGTATGAAAAAGTCCATCATTTTGGGGAGGAGGATGATGAGGTACAACCAGGCAATCCAAAGCCACAACTTCCTATTGGTGCAATTCCAACGTCCTATAACTACCAGCAACACAGTGTGTCAGGTAAATTTTTGAGGAAAAAAAAAATGCTATTCCACCCCACCCCTTCTTTTTTTTTTTTTTTTTTTTTTTATAGGCTACAGAATTAGTGTGTAGATAAATTGATAAAGTTACAAAAACCATCAGATTTGTAGGTCACTCAAATTATTAATTTAATACACTCAAAAACCTTTCCACTGCAAACAAAAAAAAAATGGATATGACAATCCATAAGCTGTTTCTCTTCTTCAAAAATGTTTCTCTTTCTAATTAGCAGAGCTAAAGAGTTACTTGTCTTGAAAAAGAAGTACCTTGAAAATTCACAGGTTCTGTTTCTGTCACATCAGTCATTCCTCTGCAGAGCCAAATACCTGAATTGAGCATAAGATTTACTAAGCTTTAAAATCTGAGAAATCAAGCACATGGGTAAGGGGCCAGAATTAACACCTACGAAATGTAAGTGTTGAACCAATGAACAAATAGGAAGCTGGTGGATTCTGTGGAACAGATGTATAATTCCTTGTGTAGAGAGTGACTCCAAATTGTATTACAATTTTATTCTGTTTTAAGTTTGCATTTTGAAAGCTTTTCTTTGGGAGAACATATTGCAGTATTGCATTCTGGAGATGATGAAGGAACTGGTATCTAACTAGAAAGGTACGCAGCTAAGTAGAATATGTTCAGCATTTTGGCCAAAGACTAACGGAAAAAAAAAAAAATAGAATACTGTAAAAAGTTCTTAAAACACATAATACCTTATTAATAAACTTTGAAAAATACTATTCATAATAATATTGCTTAATGTATCATCTGAATATTCATTTAGCTGTGAAAACATTGGGTTGGGTTTTTTCTTTTTTTTTTTTTTTTTTCCTTAGATTACCTTCGTCAAAGCTATGGGCTGTCTATGGACTTAAACTCACCAAATGACTACAATAAATTGGTGCTTTCACTGTTATCTGGACTCCCAAATGAAGTGGACTTTGCAATTAATGTATGTACTCTTCTTTCAAATGAAAGCAAGCATGTTATGCAACTTGAAAAGGACCCTAAAATCATCACTTTACTGCTTGCAAATGCTGGGGTTTTTGATGACAGTAAGTATATGACAACATTTTTGTAACAAAAAGTGTCAATACCTGTTGTAGCATCTTTCACAACCCTTGGTAATGGTAATCTTTATGATTTATTGGACTGTAATATATTTTTTTTTTCTTTTTTACCTTGTCTGCTGTTAAAATTTTTATCAGACATCACTTAACTTTTAAGTTAAGTAATTTAAAACAGTGTTCAGTGTTACTTAATGGTCTAGTGAAATGTAAGAATTTGGTTTTCAGTGGTAAATTCTAATTGTTCAAGGTGCTCAAATTTACAGCATTGTTTTTTCATCTGCTTGTAGGGTACTACTGCTTTCTTCTGAATTCATAGGACCATTCTGACTTTTCGTAGTTCCTTTCTAGTAGGACAGTCTGAAAACAATGACCCACTAAGATTTTCATCCTGGTAGTTCACTATACATTCAACAGTAGTGAAAGTCAGAATGCAAAACTCTCAAGGGATAAAAATCTTCATCTGAGTTTCAGAATTACTTAATGTGTTAGTACATAAATTTTAAAAGAGAGTCTAGTCCATCAAAATGCTTCTGTGTGTGAAATGAATTCTGACTTGTTCAGTGTGACCTCCATGCCAAGTTGTTTCTTGATAATCGCTTGTTTGTTTTTCTGTCAAGGAGAGGGGGAAAAAATAAGTTAACCCAAACCATCCTAAAATCTCGTCAGCATAGCTCCTGTCTTGTGGTGAGGAGAAAATATTTACTGGTTTTAAGTACTGTTTGGGGTTTTTTTATATACACTTATGGTGGTAATTTCTGAAATCCAGAAATTACTCAGATGAGTTTTCTCAGCTAAGTATATTTAAGTCTGCTAGTACAGATGATCATATTTGTTTGAATATAAACCTACTTTGCATGTGCAAGTACAAACATAGGATGGTATGTCAGAGATTCTGTTTGAAAATTGTGTTAAGCATTGTAACTTCTTTGGGGTTTTTTGGTCCTCTTTTTTTTTATAAAAAATCAATAGCATTTTATGTAATGATTTGTTATGTTACTCCTCCTCCCCTCAATATTACATTAATAAGCTGTTCTCTTAAAATTTTTGCTCTTCAGATATGGTTAGACCTTGGTCATTTAGTTCCTGCATCTAGTGTAGTCACAGGGACTTTTGAAGAAAAATATTTGAAAGTGAAATTTTGTCCTGCATGACAGTATTTCCAGGATGCTTGCTCTCTAGATTTTTAGTTTGCTGCCATTCCCCAGTTCTTTTGATGGCATTTCTATGGATTGAGGAATTTACAAATAATTTAAACAAGTTTTGTATTGTTATTTTATTATTATTTTCAATGCTGCAAAGCTAGATGGTGTTTTCTCAAGTTATTAACTTGGAATCTGAGCACAGGATTGTTCTGTAACTAGTCTGTGTTAGTATTTCTCATATTGAAAAATATTTGAGATAAAGCCAATGGGATGGCTCTTTTGATTCCCTGGGGAAAAAATACTTCATTTTTTGTCTTACCTGCTCACATCTTCTGGATAAATCCAGTATCGTACCAGGACTAATTGGGACAAACTGGAGAAAGAAAGGGGATGTGTGTTTACTTATTTTTGAAGCAGAAAATGTTGATATGAAATCTTTAAATGCTTTTGTATTATAAATAATGAAGGTAAGTTTGTCAAGTCTGGTGATTAAATTAAATCCCTAATTAGCAAATTCAGGTAGTATGAAAATGCTGTTACAAAATTTCAGGTGTAATTAAATGATAGCTGATTGTTTCATGTGGGTTTGTAGACAGGACTTGTCTATAATTTAGGTTTTATGGTTTTGGAGTTTATAATGCTGTGTTTATAGGTAACGAGAAGAATATGTCTTCATTTTTTTGTTTTCCCCTGTGAAATTTGAGAGGACAATTAGATTGCAGCCCCAGGAGTTTGGGGGTATATAGTATCTTCAATTTGGAGTGCTGAATAAGCCTTGGTTTTGATTCTGTGTTGAAAGCTGATGTGGTCTTGAAATTGAGAATTGTAGCATTTTGCTTAAAATAAGAAAAAACATGATGAACCAAAGCATTTAAGCCTAACTTTAAAGCGTCATTGTTTCATTACAGAACGATTGCAAGACAGTTTATTTTTGGATTGACTCAGTGTTTGAGTCAGACTGAGTTCTTGCTGCTTTCAAGGAGTGACGATGAGAAAAGTTGTGGTAGTGGCTCGAGCAAGCACCCTGGAGCATCCGTTACACTTCCTGGTTAAACATTAACTTTCAATGGAGTGCTGTCAAAGTCTCACAGCTACTGTTGTGTTTTTAGAAAACATTAGTGGGAATTTGTTTAATTACTAAAGTGCTGTTTGGAAGACAACTGGAAAACAGTTGTGAATGTGAGGTTGAAAACTGAGCAATCATCTTGACTCCTGGAAAAGAAGTACGGAAGTTTCCTGTGTGTTTTTCAAAGGGTTCACAAGGGAGTCCATTCTTGATGGACTGATTACTCTCAATTTAGATGGTAAAACTGCTGTAGCAGTTAATTAAATGATTCCAGAAATTTCAGTTGGTTTATGCAATATTTTTTTTTTTTTTAAATGAAAAGGAAACACTGGATGAGTCTGTAGTGCTGTTGAATCTTTATTTAGTTTGTGGATTAGTAAAAAGTCAAACAAAAATGTTCAATTTTTTTTTTAATTTCACTAAATTCTTTTTATGCTTAAAGCTTTAGGGTCGTTTTCTGCTGTATTTGGAGAAGAATGGAAGGAGAAAACTGATAGAGATTTTGTTAAGGTAATTTAAAAGTTATTAAAATAATTTTGATCTGCATATGGCAAGTATCAAATCCTTTAAAAAGATAGAAAACTGTAAGATATACTAGCATATGTCTTTAAAATTACTCTCAACTTTATTCCTTTGTAAATATAAGAGGACACTAAGTCACAGTTGTCATAAAATGTTTGGATAAGCAGGAAGAAATGTATTAAGAAAATATAGATGTAGGAAAATAAATAAAAGGTTGTTTGTTTCTTTTTGTAAGAAAGCTAACGTGTCAGGAAAAGGAAAACTGTCCAAGATATTTAGCATGACAAAACAATGCTGGTTTTCTTTAAATTTTCCCTGATCAGTAAAGAAACAAAACATTCTGGAAAATTATGAAAGTTAAGTCCATAAGATAAGAAGCATAGGTCAAATGTAAACGTTAGCAATGGTGCAAGTTTGTTTCAGTGAAACTATTTTTGCACAAAGCTTTTTTATTTTTCCACTAGAGGGCATGAGCTGCAGTACAAGTAATGAAATGAAGTAAAAATATAACTAAAGTTTCTTTAAATAAATGCTTCCTCTTTATTATAGGTGAGCATTTTGAGCTTAGTAGAGAGCATGAGTTATATTGTAACTGAAAGAGGTTTTACATTTCAGCATATCTGCGATGATACACAATTTCCTTAAAGTGAATTTCAGCTAACGATTTGTGGCCAAAATAGAAGAAAGCTAGATTAAAATATTTTTAAGACTTTTTATTAAGTAAAAAAGTGAAGAGATAAGATGCTGAGTTATACGAACTCATAGCTGGGTTTCTGCTCAATTTCTTAATCAACTCATATACTGATATGTCTTAGCAGTATTATAGAGAAATATTTAATAGCACCTTTTTCCATTTGTCTTATATTTTTATGTAACTCAGTTTTGGGACAAGTTGGACAATAGTAGTGTTTGTTAAATTACAAGTATTGTTGAAATATCAGTGAATAGATTCCCTAACCAAAACTTCGTAGGTGAAGTTAAGAACAAAAAAGGTAAGCTTTAATATTTGTTGGTATAAGAACTTGAAAATGTGGTTCAAAAGTACTGAAGGTAAGATGTAAAAAAAAAAATCTTCATAATCTTTGTTTCTTTTTCCCATTGAAAAATATGCCCAGAAGTACTGTAGATTGTCTTTTGGTTTGTTGTTTGGGTTTTTTTTTTTTTTGTTGTTGTGGTTTTTTTTTTTTAGAAGCAATTCTGTCTTGACTTCAACCTAAACTGTCACAGACTGTTGCTGATCTAGAGCAGCAACAATCATCAAGTCTAGAGCCATAAACATTTAAAATTACATAGAATTCTAATTTATTATATGTTCATTTATTATATAAATGTAAGTTATGGTGACAGCTAAGGGCAGATGGTTCTGATAAATGTTTTTAACAAAGTGTGAAGTAGAACCACTGTACTGCAATAAGGTTTACTAATAAGAAACTTGGATGGTCTCCAAGATCTATTTTTGAACATTACAACATGTATAGTACCACTCCGTAGTGAAATACGTCTGAAAGCATTTCAGAAATGAACACCAGATTTAAAAATATATCTAATGCCAAGAATCCGGATTTTTCAGAACATTTTACTTCAAGCATTTGTTTGACCCTACTACTGGAAGTAATTTATTTTGTATTGCAGCTGTGGCTGTGTCAGAACAGAAATCAGGAGGCGCATTATGGGAGCTTCATGACGTAGGAAAGAGGTGTTTGATTGGCATGGTGGAGATTGTTTTTATTGAAATTTGATTTTACAGCTTTCAGATTAATAGAATGGCTCTTGAATATGTGTCCCTCCTTTTACAGTTCACATGATCTTTCAAAAATCCTTCTTTGTTTTTTTGGATTTTTGTTTGGTTTGGTTTGGTTTTTCATTTTGCTGTCAGTTGTTTGTCTTGGTTTTGTAAAGTTTTACCGTTGCAGTTTGTTGCTCTGCTATATTGGCAGCATATTAGAAATTTGTGTAAAGGTGAGAATGGAAAAGAGGTTTTAAGTGGGAGAAGAAAAATGCAGAATTAGGAATTAAAGTATAGCTATAGCATAAACACAAATGTTAAAGATACGTAGAAATGAGGATGGGGAAAGCAATTTCTTAAACCTGTGAATTCTAAACTAATAGCAAATTGATTGCTAGAAAATTGTGTTTGTAAATGTTACCCTCAAACTGTGGTGGATTTTTAATGTGTAGGAGTTTGGGGGTTGAGATGTGGCTGAGAAATATTAGAAATCTTGAAGGTTTTCTGCAAATTATCCTCAGGGTTAAATTTGTGGTTCATAGAGAAATCATAAATTTGGATTCTTGGCAATTGATTATCAGTTTCAGTGTTAGTATGTTGGCTTTATTGGGGGGAGGGGGAATTGAACTCCTAGTCTTTGTTAGCTTGAAAGTAGCCTTTCAAATGCAGTGAAACTAATACACGTTACCTATGAGATGGGTTCAGGGTATTTGGTATTTCAACTATATAGCTACTCTTGGTAACTGTTTTCCAAACTCCTCTTCTTCCTTATGGAAATACATGAACATAAAGTTGGAACTTTTTTGATTCTATAGAGCCATTTAGTTTCTGTGTTTCAATGTCTTTTTACAGACATTGGGGTTAGTTTTAGAATTACGTGTTTATACTAAAATGTTCTGTGCACATTTTAATGTTTGCTTAAAATAAGCTTGATTTAATTTTTAATCTCTTAATAATAGTAGTTTAAAAATAGTTTTCAATAAAGAAAAAAGGTCATACATTTTTCTCTAATGATTTTTCTCTTCCTTCTGCTACATCTTTGCATGCTAGGAGTGGTACAACATCACCGTTAGTATTTCTCCCACCTTTAAATATCTACTCAATAACTGTTGGTTGTTTGATATTCGGTCAGCTCTTGAGTTCTGTATTAATGTAGCATAAAGAATTTGTCAATTGTTTCAGCACCAATACTTTGCTTTTTGTGTTCTGATGTGCCTGAAGTTTGACTGAAAATCATTCTACTTTACATATGTGGTATCATGCTTTTCTCAGAACAGTCTACTAGTAGCAGTGTCATACTTGGAAGCAAAGGAGCTTTCCTGTTTAGCTGTGTCCACATCACTACTATTGCAGTTGGAGGTGGAGATGAAAAGCAATGTGTTATACTAAACTGAGGAAACTCAACTGGTTCATTTTGCTTTGAATTTCCTCATGTTAGCAAGGTTCACTTGTGAGGTTAGTTTGTCTTTCAGGAGTGACTTGTTCATATAGCATGCTTAAAATCAGATAGATTTAATTGCTTTTCCAGGTATTTCTTTCATGTCTCCAGCAACTGCCTGCTATCTGATGTAATGCAATTATTCATATACTACATGTTTTCATATGCCATTCAGTTCTGTTCACTTCAATTTAAGCATTTGGCTTTCATGTTCTTGGACTTTTCAAAGCCTCCTCTAGCTGTAGAATTCCAAAATCCCTGCTTACGCAGTTTTTGTGCTTTCTTTACTGCTTTGCATAATGCTTTACTTCTGTGGGGTTTTTTGTTTGGTGGTTTTTTTTTTTTTTTTTTTGTGGTGGTTTGTAGTTGATGTGGTGCTTTTTTTTTGTTTGTTGGTTTTTTAGGTACTTATTTTGTTGTCCACTGTTTCTTCTTTGTAGAAGTTCAATAATAATTTTCTTTCAATCTTTATTAGTGTGTAGAGAGAGATCCTTATGCATTCATTTAAATGCCTGAGATACTTGTCAAACATCACCTTCCTTGCCTCTTATAGTGATCTGTCAAGCTGACTTTGACTCCAGTTGCTCTCATATTTTTCTTGGACAATAAGTAGTCATGGTCATTCCTACATTATATGATTTGTGGACTCAGATGTCCTTTGTTTTTATGGGCAGTAGTTTGGTTCACCTGGTTTCCATTGAATTCTGTATAATCCTGTGCATCTTTTCCGAAGGAGCGTGGCTACTGACAGGAGTCGGCTTGTGCATGTGAATCAAGTTCTTAATCTTTGTCCATAATCTGTTAGCATCTGGGTGTCTCATAGTCAAGCATTGTTTGCTTCCAAGATTTACCTTTATGTTCCTATTACCAGTGTGTTATCATGATCTGTGATTTATATGTAAGAATAGGTATTGATAAAGAGCTTCACTTTTTCATCCTTTCTTGTTCATTTCTGTTGATATGTAGTATCACATTGCAGCTACCCGTAGTTGATGGTAGGAAATAAATAACTGCTTGTGATGCTAAATTGAGGTGTTTTTTTTTCTCTGCCTTTGTGATACATTTTTCAAAGGGATGCTCAGAAAGCTTAACTGTTGTAACTTCTGCCTTTCCTTTGGGCAAACAAAAGTTTTGTCATGTTTCACCTTGTTCTGTTGTAACAGGTGGGTCACAAACATTGTATGTAGGTTATTTAATTCTATTTACCACTTTGCCATTCTCTTCCCACCCCTGTCCTTTTTGGGGATATTTCCTGCTTAGGCAGGAAACAAATGTTGAGTGGGCTGAGAGCAATCAAACCAGTCTGCTGAAATGCAAAAAAAAAAAAAAAAATAAAAAACAAACGGTGATTCAAGCTAAATCTTTCCGTGTAAAATGTGCTGCAGGCACATTTTAAATTTAAGATGTTTTTTAACACCTTTATTCAGAAGTACGAGACGGAGATCATTGTAGGTAATCTAAGTGCTTTGGAAGAATAACTAGATGGGTGTTTTGGTAATTTATTTACTGACAGGACATGTGATTGCAGTATGAAAATTAGTCAGAAACATGGAAACATCTGTACTTCAGAATCACAGAGAATAACTTTCAGAACAAGGTGCGATTCTTTTTTATTTGTCTTTCTTCCTTACTGTGATGTAGGGAGTTTTGTAATCAATGAGCTTCATCATTCCAGTGAAGGAACAGAAGGTACTATTTCCCTTCCTGAAAGTCTTGTCAAGGAGTTTTAAAATTTTGTTCGTTCTTTCTGAGGAGGTCTTAAGTGCTCTGGCATCTGCTTTATTGAAGTCCTCTGTCTGAGTGAAAGATGCAGAATTCATCTGCACTATCAACTCTGCATTATTGTTTAGATGTGGGTCAGCTGAAACCTGTCATAGCATCTCTTAAAAACCCCGCATTTTAAAAATTGTTTGGAGAGCTTGATTTTATGCCTGATAATTCAGTTGACACTTTGATTGTCATAGGTCAGGCTGCCTTCACTCTTTAATTTCCTTACATGACTGTACATACAGTGCACAAGTACTTTGCTTCAAGCTGTTTGTCATTTCCTGGACAGAACAGTAACTTTTCTGAGGCGGATGGTCAACTCTTCTATGTAATGGTGCCTTCTAGAAGATAGCTTATTGGAATGAAATAGAAACTTCTAAATGATTAGAGTATTAGGTGCCTCCTTTCTTGGCTAGGGACTCACTGGAGCTGTCTGTGGTGAAGCTTTCGGGTACCTTGGAGTTCAGTATACTGATACTATGCATATTGGGCTTCTGTCTGTACATTCAGTGTTGCCACATGCTTGTCAGGAGCTAAAGTCATGAGAAGTCCTGACCCCTCTATAGTCAGCAGCATATCTCTGAAGTAGGCACATGAAACAGCACATATATTTGTTTGTGTCTTAGTTGCTTGGATTGCTGAACACATTACTTACCGATAAGCTGTTGAAGTTACAAGCTTGTTGAATAGAGCATGTAGTGCAACATTACTGAGGTTTTTGGTGATGCTATATTTTGGATAATATTTCTGAGTTCTTTGGTGTTATCACTGGAGCTTTTGCGGGTTGTTTGAAATTTTAAAATCTGCAGAGTGCTCACAGGAAGCCTGGTTTGCTACTGCAGAAATCATTTCATGGTTGCTGAAACACCCATGACAGATGCTGTGTTTGGGAATGCAAACCTACAGTTTTGAGCAAGCCAGAGACTCTGGGATGCTTCTGCAGGTAGAGTGGTGTTCTTGGTGAGTATTATCTCTTACAGTGCTTCTGTATGTAGAAAAAAAGCATTTGAGAGAAAAAGTTGTTCTTGAAGTTGTATTGCCTGCGTATTCATTTCCTATCATGCAGATTCTCTTTGTTAGAGCTTTAGGAGCCTTTCCAGATCCCTAGAACTTGGAGGAACTGAGACTGTGAGGGATCCAGGTTATCCTAGTGTGCTTTGCATAGGTACAGGGCTAGAGGATATAGGTAATACTGAGGCAAAAATTCTCTGTTTGGAGTGGGTAGTGTTATGCTCACAGTGTAAGTGTATGATGAAACAATTTGAAGAACAACAGTTATACCTAAGTAAACTTTATTTGGTGCCTTGGTGTCCCTCTCATTTTGACAGAAAGGAGCCATGTTCTGTTCTTCTCTGAAAAAGATAATCTCATCTAAGTTGACAACTATGTTTTGCTTCTTTAGGAAGGGGAGAAGTTCTCAGTTGTTCAAGGAACTAGCACGGATTTGTTTATTCTGTGAGTTTTAGGTGAGATGTACGGTTTTCCAACAACGTGCTCTTGTTGTCATCTTTAGCTGTAGCACTTTGAAGCTTTATCTTTGTCAGCATCTGTAGTGTCTTCATCTGCAAAAAACTTAAATCCTCATTTTCCTTCCCTTTGAGAACACAGTTCAGGTAGGAAAATTTGCTACTTTATGACTTTATCCTGTCAGAGATTTTTAAATATTTCACTTTGGACCATACATTTAATATTAAGTGGTGAAAAGTGGATTATTGGAGGATTCAGCTAGCAAATGTGACAATGCTGTTTTAACATTTAATGGTTGACAGCAGCCTTAACATTACATTGTGATTGACTCTTCCAAAGAGATTCATATTGAAGTTGTAGACTTGAGGTGTTTCTGTTCAATAGTCATTTTAAAAAGAAATCCTTAGCTGATTAAACTAATCTTTAAAAGCTTCTGAGGTTTGTCTTTTGACTAGCAGTGAAATTTGAAGGCTTCCTGTGTTCATTGCTTTTCCAAAGGAAGCATCCTCATGGAAAGTGTGCACTGAATGGTATATTTCCAGACAATGTATTTATGTGCTTTTTAAAATAATGGCTGAAGCCTCTTCCTTGAATGATCCTTGGTATCCTTCTCTAAAAGTAAAGGCAGCTCAAAATAAAATACTTTCTGCAAATTTTACCTGTGTGCCTTGGTCTTCTATGGCTCTTGATGCTAGCTTCAGTATTAACCAGAAAAATCTGCTTGTCACAAACAGTGAGAAGTTAGACTTTGATGTGGTTGCTCTTGTCTTTGCTAAAATGAATTAACAATGCTTTCTGTGCAAGTAATCCTCTTTACTAAACAGCACTTGCATGTCATTTAGCTGCACTGCAGTGGAAAATAAAACTCTTTTCCTTCCAATTTAAAAAATCTGTAGTGTTGTATTTTTCAAGAAAATTGTAGTGTCTAGCTTGGTATGAATGCTGTAATTTAGTAATTACATTTGCATAGCGAAATTTCTCCTGCTGTTCAGCTGGTTGAACTTCCCATCCTTCCCCTTTTATCCAGATTTATTTGTGGTTTTATTCTGTGATCGTAGCCAAAAGAGGAGCTGTATTTCACTAGTAAGTCAAAGGAATGTATAAGTTTTTATTAGTCAAAGGAACGTTTATATTTTTGTCACAGTATACACTTGAGGATATATATACATATTATCATAGAATCCTTCTATATTAATATACATCACAATGTATATTTTTATTAGGTTGAAAACTTGATTAATTCTTGAATTTCAACAAGACCAGCAACATAACAACCATTTATGGGTTGGTCAGGCCGTATATTTGCTAAGTAATTTGAATTCCAGTCTGCTGAAGCGTACTGTGTGGCTAACACTTACAAAACATTCTTTTGACGGCGGTTGCTGCTTCTCTCTTCTCATTGACTTAAGATCATGTAGAAAAGCAGAGCAAAAGCTTTAAAAAGTGTCTCCCAATAGAAAGCTGACTCTTGTACTTCCATCAGAAATCTAAGATCAATGAAACTGAGAGGAGTTACCTTTTATTGCTTTAGGAATTCACTGTTTGTAGGAAGTGGAGAAGGATGAACTGTACTTTTTTGTCCACTGATAATTGCTTTATGTCTAATTGTTTGTGGAAAAGTGTCCATATAGTTTCGGTAAGTGCTTCAGCAAAGTACTTTTGAGGTAATGTTGGCTGATCATGGATGTGTAGTTCTGGTGCTTGAAGGGAAGAGCTTCTTAATGTAAAGGGCTGAACATCTTGTGTATCATCCCGTGAGTGAAAAATGCAGTTCCTGTTAAAGGAATCAAGGCAGTGGGAAATTTTTAAAGAATAATCCTTTCCATACTTTCCCAATATTTCAATGTAATAGAAATAAAAATACTTACTCTTTAAAGAAATGTCATTCCCTAGAAATTAAGTGTACTTTTTAATGCTTTTTTCAGTTTTGGAAGGATATTGTTGAGGATATTGAAGTTCGTGATCTAATTTCTGACAGAAGCAAATCTCAAGGTGAGACATCTTGACTAATCTTAATAGATATGTATTGGCAAAAACAGTAAAGGAAAGGCTGAAATTTGTTTGTTTACTTTGTAGATATTCCATCAGAAGAATGGATTTGGGAATCCTTATTTCATCCACCTCGCAAATTGGGCATTAACGATATCGAAGGGCAGCGGGTACTTCAGATCGCAGTGATTTTACGTAATCTTTCTTTTGAAGAGGGAAATGTTAAACTTTTGGCAGCTAATCGTACTTGTCTTCGGTTCCTGCTACTGTCTGCTCACAGTCACTTTATTTCTCTACGGCAGTTGGGGCTTGACACGCTGGGAAATATTGCAGCAGAGGTAATGTGCTTCAAAACAGAACAATTAACATGATTTGATAAAAGCATTACTTTTGTGTTAAATGCATTACTTTTTTTCCTTGATTGTTGGATGAAGCAGGAAATAAATTATTCTCTGAATTTTTAGTGATTTGAGAACAAGTATTCAGAGCCCAAACGAAAATACAGACTGTATGTGTCAGTTTGCTAAAATAGGATCCCATGAAGAAGACTGATTGTATAGGGAGATATAAGATAATTGTACTGTATAATTTTCAGTTTACTTTCCCAGAGAGAAAAAGGGAATTTAGTTAAGTTCTGCAGGCTGTGCACTAGCTTCTTCACTTTATAATTATAACCTTTAGTCCTAGCTTCAAAAAAGTAAGTTTGAAAAAGGAGGTGATAGAAGGTTTTATGCTGTCTGTAGTGGGCACCAGTAAGCTAGTCATACACCACTGGGTATACTACCTGAATCATGTGAAGCATCCTTTTCTTTTCAAGAAGGTTGGAATATATCAAAATATGCCTTTACGGTACGGTATATCATTGTGCAGATAAATGATACAAATTTTATAGGTTGATGTGTTCAGGTATTCTTTCGGTTCTAAAATTATAACAGATAAATTCAAGCAAAATGGGTGGTATTAGAGAATGAGGCTTGAAGTATTGGTCCACTGCTGAATATTGAAAAAAAAGATGGCATTTTCATATACCATGTATCCTGCTTCTCATAAGTAAGAGAGAATATCACATGTTATAATGTCTGAGAGCTCTGACTGAGAAACAGAAGTTGGCAGAAACAGGATGAATGGCTATGATAGCGTTTGGGAAGGAATGTTTGTCAATACTCAAGTTCTGTTCTTTGTTGGGTATTAAAATACATTTGTGTATACTGTTGACTGCCTGGCAACAGAGTTATTTTCCTTATTCTGAGCACTGGGAAGTGTAAATTAGACTGCTACTTCAGAGCAGAAAAGGAGGAGGAACCTCAAATTGCTAGCTACAACAAAAAGCTCACAGGGTTCTGTTTTTGTCATTTGTATGTGCTACATTTAAGCTCTTTTGTATCTTGTATTTTGATATGCAAATTTAAGGATTTGAGCCCTTGGTGCTGTATGGGTAGTGTTAATCACAGATTTTTTTTTTTTTTTTCTTTCTCATCAGCTTCTTTTGGATCCTGTTGATTTCAAAACTACTCATCTAATGTTTCACACTGTTACAAAATGCCTCATGTCAAGGGATAGATTTTTAAAAATGCGAGGTAAGAACTGTGGCTATTCTTCTTCTTGCATTAGAGTTGTAATTATTGCTGTTTAAAACTATTTTCAATTTGTTCTTCAGGCATGGAAATCTTGGCAAATCTTTGTAAGGCTGAAGATAATGGTGTCCTAATTTGTGAATATGTGGATCAAGAGTCCTATAAAGAGATTATATGTCATCTCACGCTACCAGATGTGCTGCTTGTAATCTCAGCACTTGAGGTGCTATACATGCTCACAGAAATGGGAGAAGTGGCCTGCTCAAAGATTGCTAAAGTGGAGAAGAGCATAGGTAAGGGAGAAGCAAAATCTATTGCATTCGTTTAGGTAGGAGAAAAGACTTAAGAATATATCATATTCAGTGGTTAAAAGTGTAGCTTGCTTGTGTGTGTGCAGCCTAGGAATGGATATTAGAATAGGAGGTTTTACTGAAATGTATTCTTTGTGCCCTGAAGGAATTGATGATGCTAGTACGAGGGAGGTTTATAGATTTGAAGTCTCTCTCTTTTTCTCCTTTTATATGCCATGAAGCGTGTGGCGAAATCTACAGAAGCATGCAGAGGCTTTTTTTTCTTTCAACACATGGCAATTTTAAAGCAAATTGGTGTGTCTCAGCAGCATTCATTTGTCTTATCCTAATGCCATCACTGGCTTTACATTTAATACTTCTAGATACGTTAGTGTGTCTGGTTTCTATGGACATCCAGATGTTTGGACCTGATGCACTTACTGCTGTGAAACTCATTGAGCATCAGTGCATTAGCCTGCAAGGAGTACCTGATGTCAGACCACAAGTAATGGATCATGGTTCTTCACAGGCACATGCAACAGGTGTCCCAGGTTAGTACCACTGCAGGAGAACATACTCTTCTACAAACTTCCTATATGGCATGTATGATTTTTGTCCTCTGTAGGTTCATGATTAATTTACATAAATCAGTATAGTGTTGTGCATAACATAGGGTATCTTGTTCAGATACTTGTTCACAAAGCAAATATAAAGCTATGTTACCCAAAAATGTTGTGAAACAAGCTTAAAAAAAATCTTAATATTTTTCAGTTGATAATCTGAAAATTTATTAATTTATGTACACTTTTCATTTAACTTGTTTGGTGGAAAGAACAAATACCCATTCTACGTAGCTCCCACAATTTGCAGAGAATCAGAAGTCCATTTTATATTGTATTTTACACAGAATATTACTGGTCAGTAGCATGTAGTGCTTGATGGAACTGCAGGTAGGAGATAGACACAAAGAATCATGCCTCCGCTGAAGCTGCTGAGCAGCTTGTTGTGATTTGAACCAAACTTTAACTATTTTTTAAAGTTTGAAAAGTGTTTTGTTAGTTGTATTAAATAAAATTTTAATTGTGATTAATTTTTGAAGTTTTACTTTGGCATTAAATACTTTGGAAGTTGATGGCTCAGGTAACTGTTATTGCTCAGGGGGAATAGTTTGTGTCTCATTCTGTCTTTAGTAATAAAAGCACATAGCAGTACATCACAATCGCACACAAGACAGAACATAGCTGTTCAGTCTGGGGGAAAAAAGAGAGAAAGAATCATTACAACACACACTGGCTTGCAGATCTAAGTGTGCTGGTTTTGGAATGGGTGCAGATACCACAGTGAAAGTGACCGAAAAATAATGTAACTTGGGAAGAACAAGAGTGAGCATAAGGAGCTGATGTGACATCACAACAAAATTCTTTACATGATATTTGCCTCCACTTAGGAATTGGAAATTTTGGAAATTGGAAATTGTGTATTTGTGCCTAGTTTGGTGGAGTATTGTGCCACTCTTAAATCATACTCAGTACTCTAAAGTAATGAGAAAATGGATCCTGATCGTGAATCTGGAAGCTGTTGTTGACTAAGTGCGTATGTCATGACTACGCCGAGTGGTGGCTCTGGCCGTGGGGTGCCCTGCTTCACTCTGCTGGGCTGTGGTGCAAATCTGTAGTCTGCTCAGTGCACCTTTGTGACTTGCCTTAGCAGAATACGTCCTTGCTTACAGGCACTGGAGATACAGGACTAGTGAAGGTGCTTCATGCAGGAGAACAAAAATCGTTTCAGCAAGTTTGTTGTTTGTTTGTTTTTTTTTCTTCCTCTCATACTCCACAGCCTCCAGGACGGCACCACATGTTGCTCCACCACCAGGGATAGTAGAAATAGACAGCGAGAAGTTTGCATGTCAGTGGTAAGTGTATAGTCCTATTTAAATACTTCAATGAAGAAGAAGAGCAAAGAAAAATGCCTGTGTTCACATCACAGAATTTTCTAGTTTACTTCTATTTACGATTGGACTAATTTTTCTGGAAAGTATAAAGCCAAACCATTCTGTCATTGCTTTGAAAAAGTGTGAAAGAAAAAAAACTCAACTAAAATATTCACTCTTTGATAGCTGATACTTGAAATTAGTTGTTTTCTCTCTTGGAATAGAATTTAATTTGATTTTTAACTCTGATCTTGGTTTTATATATTTCTTTTTAATTGTGAAGCAGCATTATCTGTTTCACAAGTGTTTTCATTTGGTAATATGTTGCTATATTATTACACCAGTATAAGAGCAATTATGAAATTATGTAGCTAGGCCCTGCAAAACTCTGATGTGATCATTGAGAACCTTGAGCAACTTAGTGAAGATCAAACCCTTTTCCATCTAAATTCTTTTGCTTTCAACTAATGTTGTCAGATATGTAGAGAAGAACAATTCTGGCTGCGGTTCTCATGTGGACTGAGCGTGATTTTTCTTAACTATTTGATTTATGTAAATGTATTCATATTCTAAATATTTGTATTAATCAGTTCCTGATGGACCTTTCTAATTCTGCTGCTTCACAACTCATGCATTCATCTGTTATTTTACCGATCAGACAAGGGTCTTCAAGAAAAGTGGGTAGAATTTGTCAAAGCTTAATGCTGTAGGCCATAATTTAGTTTAGCTTACACTTCCAGCAAAGCCTTGATTGTATGGGGGAAATGTTACAGATTCTTGTTGGTTGTCTGATGTTGCTCCCATGCTGCTGTTTGCACACTACAAAGTATTATTCCTGTGCACTGCTGATGAGAAATGGGACATTTAGTAATTTAAGCAGGGATACCTGGGGTTGGAATCACTGCAGCTCAGTTTAGGGATCTGCAAGTTGGTCTCTAGCCAGAGCTAGTTTTCTAGGCTGCCTTTTTAATTAATGGAGTGGGAGATTCCCCCAGCAATAAAATGCATTGCCTTCACCTGCCTAGTTTCTGATGAGATTACAGATTACTTTCTGGTGCCACCTTTTCTCTGTTGACTCTGGAGCACCCTAGATGTTTAGCTTTAAGTAGTAAAGTTGTAGGCAAGGTGAATTTTGCACTCTGTATAAAACATAAAATGGATGTTCTGACTATTAAAATAGGCATGGACAGATACTATGCTGTGACTGTGTGATACCGTCAAATGACAGAAAATACTGAAGTGGAGTCTCCTTCTCTGGAGACTTTCAGAACCCACCTGGATGTGTTCCTGTGTAACCTGCCCTAGGTGAACCTGCTTTGGCAGAAGCATTGGACTAAAGGATCCCCAGAGGTCCCTTCCAATCCCTAACAGTCTGTGGTTCTCTCAAACCAAAGAATATTACACTGTGAAGATTTGGAATGTCTGCTTTGTTTCTGGTTCTCTGTGCTTCTGCAGCTGTCAGTGTTGAATACTGTTATTTTGTACTCGATTTTCTGCCAGTTAGTCTTAGGTAGATAAGAGATAGTGGAAAAAAAAAGCAAAACAAAACAAAAATTAACATCCAGTAGTGAAAATTTTCCTTAAACACATAACTATGCTGAAAAGAAACAAAAAAAAAAAAGGCAAATTGAGAGCAGAGGAGTAGCCTCTTCCAGGCATTTGAGTGTCTTACATTCATGTAAATTTTCACGCTATGTTTTAGTCATTGCTTCCTATTGAGAGAAACGGGAAAATAAGTAAATCCTGGCAGCAGAATTTAGAAAAATTCCTATCTCTAAGCATCAGGAGGATATTTAAGCATGAGAAAGTTATTTAAACTGACCTTCCTGGATGTGTTATTAGCCAGCCTAGACTAAGTGGGAGTCCATGTAAGGTAAGTGCATGTGACAGTGAAGTGCTGATTGCAGATCCCATTTCACCATTGTAAGTCCTGAAAATCTGTCTGCTGGTACCAGTGATGGTGTGGCAGCCTAATAGGACATACACAACTAGACAGTCATTTGTCTGATACGCCCAATTTAATTAATACCTAGACTTCTTGTTATACAGTATGATCTCAATTTTTGTAATAATAAAATTGTAACTCAGCTGCAGGAGAAATGGCACTGTACTTACTTTTTACAACTTTTGAGAGAACACAGTTTAAAGAATGTCGTCATTTGCTTTTTTTTTTCTTTTGAAACATCTAGTGATATTGGGAGTGTAGGACTGTACAAAGGAGAATGCAGTCTAGTTTTGCAAAGTGTTAGCAACATATAGTAAATGCTGACAATAAAAATATTTTTATTCTGTCTGAGCCTATGTTCTGGTACTGGTGTTTGAGCATTGTGTAAGAGCTCTTATTTTCTTCCACTTGCTGATGCTGGGGCTGAGTGGTTCCCATGTCTCCAGGTTGGAGTAATGGATCTGGAAGAGATTAAATTAAACTGATAGAAAATATTTCCTATTCTCAGAGGTTCCTGTTTGGGTCTTGGGAGGTCTGTGTGGGTGTCTGTAGGAGATAAAAATAATTTCTTTCCCTAGAAGTTGAAGTTAGGCAGAACAGATTGTTCAAGGACTTTATTGATGTCTCTGTAGCGTGGACTCCAGGAAGGAGAGTGTGTGTTTGTGTGTGTACACTCACAGAATCCCAGTCCTCTCTCTCCTGCCTTCCTACCTCTGTAAGAGTGACAGGGTTGAGATTGTTACTCTACCTCTGATTTTACTTGTATTTTAAAGTAAGGCTGCATTAGCAGAACAACTAACAAAATCTGGGGTTTGATACAAATGTTGACTTCTGATAGAAATTTCCAGTGAAGAATTAGCTAGCATTCAGTCCACCTTCTGGTAAAGTAGAGTCATTAAGAAATAAGAGTAGAGCCTTGGGGAGGAGATGTCACCAAACAATGCGTTATTTTTTGGTCTTGTTTCTGAAAATACAATTTTAAAAAACATTTGCATATTACTTGGGTAAATAAGATGTTGCATGTAAAACAGACTGCATGTGTTAAGGATCCTACGTGTTGAATCATAAGCTGTGAGAAGGAGAAAGTATGGAGCAGACGTTTGACAAGTCAGTATACTTAAATGCTGTTTTCCTTGTTACCAGGGCTCAAAAGTCTTGGTGATGCAGAGGCAAGTGTTTTAACAACCCTTTAAAAAGCACTATCTGCATTTTGCTTCATAATTTATTTTTTCATCCTCAGGTTGAATGCACATTTTGAGGTGAATCTTGATTGCTCAGTCTCTCGAGCAGAAATGTACTCTGAATACCTCTCTACCTGTAGTAAATTAGCTCGAGGTGGAATCCTAACGTCAACTGGATTTTATAAATGTCTGCGGTAAGACACAAATTCCTGCAACAATAAAGAAGCAATTGTATGTGCTCAGTACTAACTTGTAGTTTTAGATTTCTTTGAGTAAATATCTACCCAGTTGAGTTTGAAAGACATCCGGTTTTGGAATTCTAATTGAAACAAATGTTTAAAGTTGGTTTAATTTTATGTCATTCTATTTCAGGATCTTTAATAGGGTTTCTTTTCTGCTTATAGACCTTTCATTTTTTTCCAGAGTAGTTTGTGGAGGTATTGTAGTTTTCACTTGGCTTGTACAGTATCTTGGCCAGCTGTCTGGTGGACCTGCTAGTTCTCAGTGATGAATACTCAGATGCTACTGAAGGATTCTGCTCTATTGCAAAGATGCAGTTATTCTGCATAGAAGAGCAAACAGTTAAAACAAAAACAGCGTAAGAGGGTTGGGTTACTCTGTTTATTAACATACATTTATGTTGTGTTTGGCAGAACTGTCTTTCCAAATCATACAGTGAAGCGAGTAGATGATCCAAGTAACAATGGTCAAGCACATATACACGTGGTAGGAGTGAAAAGGAGAGCGATACCACTTCCCATACAGATGTACTATCAGCAGCAACCAACTTCGTCTACCCCAGTTGTCCGGGTTGATTCTATTCCTGATGTGTCTTCATCTCCTTCGCCAGCAGGTTTTTAAATTCATTACCTATCAAGTATTTTGCATTGGTTCTGAAATTACGATAAAACGCAAGTGTTTGGAAGTTGGGGCCACATCTTGGTTGATTTTATTCAATAATATTAGGAACAGTTTTGCAACGTGTATTTGCATGACATTCTAATGTTTGACATGTAACCCATAAACTTGCCAGTCAGCAGACAAGTCATTATCACTGCATCCTAAATTCAGATGCAGTGTAGCTGAGAAGATCAGCTGCTTCGTATAGAATTGCAAATTCTAGCATTGGACTTTATTTTGAAACGCATTAACTTTTTTTTTTTTTTTTTAATGTTTGCTTCCAAACTTTTACTGTGTTTATTTCAACAGGAATCCCACATGGGCTACCAAGCGTAGGAAATCACTATCAGAGGACTCCTATTAACCAGTCTTCAACTTTGACAGCAACACAGATGTCTTTTCCAATTCAAGGTGTTCATACTGTGGCACAGACTGTTTCTAGAATTCCACAAAATCCTTCTATTCATACACAGCAAAATGCTCCAGTGACTGTTATACAGAACAAAGGTCCAATATCCTGTGAAGTGGTGAAGGCCACAGTAATACAGAGCTCTGTTCCCCAGTCTGCGGTTCCTGTTACTATTGCTGTAGGAGGAGGACCGCAAGCTTCTAATCAAAATCACAGCACTACAGGACAACAGCCCTCTGTTGCTGTTGTTAGTTCTCAGACGCTGCTTCACCACCAACCTGTAATTCAACAACAGTCTCCACTGCATGCAGTGGTACCGGGACAGATACCTTCAGGCACTCCTGTTACCGTCATTCAGCAAGCTGTACCTCAGGGTCATATATTTGGCAGAGTACAAAACATACCAGCATGCAGTTCAGCAGTTTCACAGGGTCAGCAGCTCATCAGCACATCGTCGCAGCCTGGACAGACATCATCTCAGCAGTCCTCTGCTGGTAACCAGCAACAAGACACAGTCATCATAGCACCACAGCAGTACGTCACAACCTCTGCGTCCAACATGGTCTCTGCCACCACGGTTCAAAATTTCCAGGTAGCAGCTGGGCAGGTGGTCACCATCGCAGGTGTCCAGAACCCACCGACATCTAGGGTAGGGTTTCAGAATATCGCACCGAAGCCTCTGCCGTCTCAGCAGGTTCCACCTGCTGTGGTGCAGCAGCCCATGCAGCCACAGCAGCAGCCTCCTCCACCGTCCCAGCAAAGCGTAGTGATCGTAAGCCAGCCAGCTCAGCAAGGCCAAACCTATGCACCAGCCATTCATCAGATAGTGCTGGCTAATCCAGCTTCTATTCCCGCTGGCCAAACTGTCCAGTTGACCAGTCAGCCGAGCATTACTCCGTCGTCTTCACCGTCCCCAGGCCCGGTTACGAATAATCAAGTCCCTACAGTTATGTCATCTTCATCCACCACTCCTCAGTCACAAGGACCCCCTCCTACTGTCAGCCAGATGCTGTCTGTAAAGAGGCAGCAGCAGCAGCAGCATTCACCAGCATCCTCGCAGCAGCAGGTACAGGTACAACAACCGATACAAATGCAGGTTCAGTCACAGCAAGCTAATACAGGAGTTGGCCAGCCTAACTCTGGTGAGTCTAGTCTGATAAAACAACTGCTTCTTCCAAAAAGAGGCCCCTCCACACCAGGAGGGAAGCTCATACTCCCAGCTCCACAGATTCCTCCACCTAATAACGCAAGAGCTCCTAGCCCTCAGGTGGTTTATCAGATGGCCAATAACCAGGCGCCAGGCTTTGGAGTTCAGGGACAGTCTCCAGCTCAGCAGCTGCTAGTCGGACAGCAGAACGTGCAGCTGGTCCCAGGTGCAATCCAGCCCCCAGGGGCAGTCCAGACAGTACCCATCTCCAATTTACAGATCTTGCCAGGCCAGTTGATCTCAAACAGCCCAGCAACGATTTTCCAAGGGACTACTGGCAACCAGGTCACGATAACAGTTGTGCCAAATACGAGTTTTGCTACCGCAACTGTGAGTCAGGGAAACGCAGCTTAGGAATTGCAGTGAGTGGAGCACAGACAGGAGTTGGGCTACAGGTGCAAACGCTTCCAGCTACTCAAGCACCTTCAGCTGGACAATCACCGTGTACTGCTGCTCCCCCATTCAAAGGTGATAAAATAATTTGCCAAAAGGAGGAAGAAGCAAAGGAAGCAACAGGTTTACACATTCATGAACGTAAAATTGAAGTTATGGAGAATCCTTCCTGCCGAAGAGGAGCTGCAAACACCAGCAATGGGGATGCAAAAGAAAATGAAATGCAGGTGGGAAGTCTTTTAAATGGGAGAAAGTATAGTGACTCCAGTCTACCTCCTTCTAACTCAGGGAAAACTCAGAATGAGGCCAATCAGTGCTCACAAGTCAGTAATGGGCCATCATTAGAAATGGGTGAGAACGGAGCTCCTGGAAAGCAGAACTTTGAACAAATGGACATGCAGGAAATTAAAAGTGATTTGAAGAAGCCCCTAGTTAATGGAATCTGTGATTTTGATAAAGGAGATGGTTCTCATTTGAGCAAAAACATTCCAAATCACAAAACTTCCAATCATGTAGGAAATGGTGAGATATCTTCAGTGGAACAACAAGGGAGTTTGGATGCCACGCAGCAAGATACTGCCAAAGGTGATCAAGGGGAAAGAATTTCTAATGGGCCTGTATTAACTTTGAGTAGTTCACCTGTTGTAAGCGGTACACAGGAGGCTGCAAAACTGTTAACCCAGCAACTTAGTGGTACCAACACTGATTTACCCAATGGACCTCTAGCTTCAAGTTTGAATTCAGATGTGCCTCAGCAACGCCCAAGTGTAGTTGTCTCACCACAATCTACAGCCTCTGTTATACAGGGGCATCAAATCCTAGCAGTTCCACACTCAGGACCTAGAGCGTCCCAGTCTGCCCTGTCCTCCGAAGTTCGGTCTACTAATGGCACAGCAGAATGCAAAACTGTAAAGAGGCCAGCAGAGGATAATGACAGGGAAACTGTTCCAGGAATTCCAAATAAAGTAGGAGTTAGAATTGTTACAATCAGTGACCCCAACAATGCTGGTTGCAGTGCAACTATGGTTGCTGTGCCAGCTGGAGCGGATCCAAGCACTGTAGCAAAAGTAGCAATAGAAAGTGCTGTTCAACAAAAGCAGCAGCATCCAACCACGTTTATACAAAGCATGGTCACACAGGTATGTGGAAGTGTTCTTTTTATGTTCATTCTAACTGTGATTCTGACTAACACTGTGAAATGATGCAGGTGAAAATGTGAACTCGGTCGGTAGCTTTTGGATAGTGTTTAAAATATTCAGAAAACAGTGGTTCTGTTCTTTTATGGACTAAAGGGCTAATATTTTGCATACTTCTTCAACGCCCATGACAGCAGTGGAATTCAAAATAGTCTGTAGCTTGATAACACACAGTGAGGAAAGAACTTCTGCTCACTGATTTCTTCCTTAAAGGATTCACTGTACTGAAAACAACAACGATTTGTTGTGCAGTCTTGTAAAAATGTCAGTATTGTTCTACATTTTATTCTTGGATGTTATTGCTTTCGGAGGGGTGGATATGGTCTTTTTGCAAGTTGATCGCTGCAGCTGTGTCTGGCTTGCTGGCAGGAGTTGAAGTTCTTGCATTCAAAGGTGGGCTTCAAAGGCTTGCTTCAGGGGTTCACTACAGTCAGGAGAAAGTATTGTTTTGTAAATTTGTTGAAATATTTGTGTGTTTATTGCAAAATATTTGTAATGTTTATTTTATAGATAAAATAAGCATTGTTTGAGTTTGGTTTTTTTTTCCTGTTTGATAAACTTTGGAGAGGGCTTTTTTTCTCCCTTCAGTCAGCTCTCTTATTTTAACCATTTGGAAGCAGTTCCTTCCTAGCACTTTGCTAGAAATGAAGCATGGCCATCATTTGCATGGGTATTAATAAAGTACAAATAATCATGTTTGAAGATTACTCCAGGCTCTGAAATTTATTCTAGTTTTGTACGTGGACAGAAAAGCCCTCTGCAAAAAGTGTTCCTAACCTTAGCAGGAGCAAAAAGAATAGAATAATAGGTCTGGCAGTCAGAGTTCTGACAGACCAGAGAGAGGAAATGGAGTCTTGAGTGTGTTAGTGTATGTTTTGGTTTGTTTTTTTCATGTCTTTTTCGTTTCTTTGGTTGGGGTTTTGTCTGGTGTTGACTAGGTATAGACCTTAAGGATTGAAACAGAGCTAGAAGTCCAAATTCAAGAAGTGATGGCTCGTGCTATTTCTTGTTCTGTGTCAAGTTAGGTTTCTGTTGAAAGCTCTTCTGAGTTCCCTTCATCTAGGTGTTGGAAATCAGGACTAAGAGTTAACAAGTCTTCTTTCCTTGTTTCTTTACTTTTTTCTTTTAACTGCTACACCGCACAAAGTTATTTTCTTACAGTGTCTTTGAGCTCATTCATAAATTTTCACTTAGGTTTTATCAGAGAGAGAGAGATCTTTTCTGATATGTTATTTACCTTTGTCCTCACTAGGAATGATGTCACCAAAACAAGTGTCTGTTGGCAGTATAGGGACAAGGCACTGGATTTTCTGTGGTGTAGCTATATTAGCTATGCCTTGCTTTTGACAGTGACTGTCTTTAGCTGTTATACAGTTTGAATTTCTATTACAGCTTTGCTAAGGATTTGGCTGAAATAGAAAATGATACGGCTACATCCCTGGAATGGAATAAGTATTATCTGTGGTTATTTATTCCCTGGACATGTGGCTGACAAGAATTTTAGCTGTGTCTCAAACAGCTACTAAACTATCAGACTTTCAGATTTTTGAGAGAAGGGGAGCAATGCAGTTAACTATTTAATTTATATTTTCTGTGTTGATCATTTCCTTTTTATACTGACTATTGTTAGTAGTTCCTGCATTTTCATTGCCTGTACAAACAGAAATGCTGCCAGCAGGGTTTGCTGTTCAATACAAACCTACAAATGAAAAGAACTTGATTTAACATCTGCTTCCATGGAAGTTAGCTCATTCTCCTGTCTGTAGGATGCCCCTCCTTGCTTCAGAATTACAGGAATGTGGGAGAAGAGGAGTTAATTAGTTTTGATTTTGGTAAACAATCTAGTTTGTGAGGTAATTGCCTTAGCCATTCCATATGGCTGCTTATGATTCATGTCTGATGTGATATGTGAAGTATTGACTTAGAATACACTGTTCAGCTACAGTGAACATCATAGTTTGGCTTAAGACTTTTAAGAATCTTTACGACTCCTTTAAAATTAATGTGTTAGACTATAAACAGTACTAAAATCATTCTGGACAGATCTTTTTTTTCCAAAGCTGCTGAGCAGCTGCAATAGCCATCGTTTTTCTGGAAAAGCAGATGTTAAGTATTTCCAGTACTGAGCCTGCTTTTAGGAGTATCTTTAAGACATCCAGGAATACTAAAATGTAGCCAAATTCTCATGAACTCAGTATGAGTATGATAAGCAGCTTCCTTGTCCCTGACTTTTTGAAAGGCAGCAGCTAAGGAACTCTTCTTCCACTTGAACATCTGCCTTGTTTTATCCTTTCTGCAGTACCTAATGTGTACTGGCTGGCTTGCAGAAGAAATAGGAGAACGTGGTTCTTTCTGCTAACAGCCTGAAGTTCATTATAAATACAATCCAATGGAGAAAAATGTTGAAGGACATGGAATAAAGGGATATTAGTTACGGCAAAATTTCATAGCTGCTGAAGCTGTTAGGGTGTGATATCTTGTGTGCTTGTCTTAAAAATTTGTTTTAAAATAGAGCTTGTATTTCAAAGAAGTGAGAAAGAGATGGAAAAAGAAAATTGTAATAAAATAAAAACCCCACAGGAAGGCTGGAAAAGGAGATGTAGAGGACAGAAGAGGGAGGAGAAGTATTGCTTATGCAACTCCAGCAGGATTAGTTGTCATGAACTGCAGAGAGAAAGGGAAGATGCTTAAACTGAAGATAAGCAAAGGCAAATAAATAGAGGAGGAAGGGAACAGCAACATGGATACTAGAAAGCAAGAAAAAAAATGAAATAATACTTAACACTTAAGGGAATGCATAAGTTAAGGCTTGTTTCATGATATGAGTGGTAGTTGAAATGAGGTGGTACTATATGCTTGGGGAAGAAAATATTGATTTAAATGGCCTACTAAAATAATTTATATATTTGCTGTTTATGGGACAGCCTATGTAATGCTATCAAAATCCAGTTAAACAGGTACAGGTATCGTCTGTCTATAACCTGTGATTATTCCGTGTCAGTTGTATACCTCAGCAGAACTCGTTGACCAATAACTACGTATATTCTGACTTTAAATATTTTTCTTTTGCATTTTTATAAAAAACTGGGCTATGGCTACACAGGTTATATCAGAAAAGGAACACGTGATACACAGCGTCACATTTTTTTTCTTGTATCTCCATCTGTATTTCGTAAGTTCATGAAACAGAACTGACACTTCACTTTCTTGGCTTCCTTTTCCTTTATTTTGATGTTCCCCTGCTCCTGGATTACTGCTTTCTTGAGGCATTTTGCTGGACTGGCAGATGAAAGAGGAAAAGAAATGAGCAGTTCCCTACCACTTTCTTTTCTGCTTTTCCTTACTCCTCCTCAAACACCTCTAAAACATCTGTTCAGCCTAACCGTGTTGCTTTGTCCCAATAGGTGTGTGTTTTGAAGGAATGCTCCGATGTCACGCCAAGTTTCTAGAAGTGAACAAATCTGATTTAAATTGCCTTATTCATTTTTTTAAAGTAATCACTTCCCTGCTCAACACTGTCATCCCCTCATAAGCAATGTACACCCATTTCTCTTAAAGACACAAACCTGAAACTTGCTTGTGCTTGTGTGGAAATTTAGGTGGAAAGACTGTGTGAGGGTTGCCTTAATTACTTGCTCCTGATCTCTGCTGATTGGGAAGCTGAGAATTACCATGCACCAGAAAGCAGGTGTGTAGCTCCAGGAGGTGTAATTCATTCCTAGCCACAGAGCAAACAAGTTTCTCAGCTGGAAGTACTGAAATAGAGAATCTCTGTGATTTTATTGCTCTTCAGTTGTGAAGCACACTGTTGCAAGGAGGCTTAAACTTCACTGATCTGGCAAGAAAAGAACATTTATTTTAGTGCCTGTCCATCCAGCTGACCCCTTACTCACCCTCACATCCCACTGTATTAATTTTAAGTTTATAGGTTTCCTTTTTATATATGTTCCTTGTCATGAAGGAGCTAAACATACATTTAACTCAACATAAACAGTTAAGTATTAGGAAAAATAAAAAGCGTTTTAAAGTATCATAGGATTTACAGTTTGGTATTGGAAAATTGCATTTACTATGGATGTGCATATATTAATGGTGGGAGATAAAAAGGTAGAGTAGTGCTTTTAAGCTGCACATGGCCCTGTATGTCAACGGGACCCCCATCACACTGGGGTGCAGTGTGTTCTCTTGCTGGTGGCACAGTAGGCCTTTTAAATAACATGGGCAGCTGTCATGCTAAAATGGTGTTATATGCTAATACATAAAGGGAATGGCACCGTTGATTCTGTGAGATGGAGGCTATTGCTGGCCTCAAGCCATAGGGTTTGTTATCCCTACCACACAGGGAGCTTGTGTGCCCAAATGGCGGAACTGTTGTGCATAAAAATAAATTATCTTCTGTAAACAGCCCATGCTAGTTAGCACAAAGCTTTTAGCTTTACTCTTAATTGCTGGACTTTGCCCCCCTCCCTCTGCCAGTACCTCAGTCTAAAGTCACCCAGGGTAGAGGTCTAGGCAGACAACCTCCTTCTGCTTATTAAAAGTAGGCTGTAGTATCTGTTCTGTAAGTGAACTGCACCCGCATTTGGGGTTCATATTTCTGTATGTTTAAAAGTTCAGTGCAGACCGTACTGAGACAGGTGATGCTGCTGGAGCTGCCTTTCAGTCCTGAGGTCTGATTTGCAAAAGGGCAGAGTAGTGGCAGTTGCAGCTTGTATCATGGAGAAGCCTAAACTGGCTGTGAGAAGAGGCCTGGAAGTGCTTTCAGGTGTACTGAAGTACTGAGCACTTCATGGGTGTTTGATTTCTTGAGGAACCTGGAATCATTAAATGTTTTTGCTAGAGGAGGAAATTTTGTAAAATCCTTATGTCGTGGGGATTTTTTTTTTTTCAATGTTACTTCTCCCAGAAAGACTTCATTAGGAAAAATTAAATGTCCGTCATAGTTCCGTATGTTAAAAAAATGAATTTACATAATCCTTGCATATCAGTACTCTAAACTAGGTAGCATATGGCAAGTATTTCTAGGTACATTTCTGGGGGAAAAAAAAGGAATCTAATTTCTGAAAAAGAAATACTGTACTTAATTTTAATGATGTCATGTATATTCTGCATTACTAAATTGATATATGAAAATGGGGGGGAGGGGGAAAGGCAAACCAAATTAGCAGGGTTTCTATTAAACAAAGACTAGAAGTTTTGTGATGAACACAGAACTTAGGTTTCTAAAATAAAACCTAGGAAAACCAACATAATTTTGCTTTACCTGTTGATTTTAAAATATAATTAGCGCAGCTGATGGGTAAGCATTAGATTTCACTTAAAACACATGAAAGTTGTAACCACCCAGTGCTACAAGCTTGAGCAAAATGACTTGACTTTGCAGTACAGCTAAACCATAACAATTATTTTACACATTTCTTTTAAATTTATCAACTTTTTTCCTCAATTAAAAAAAAAAAAAAATTGGTGGGGAAACCAAATTTTAACTTTCTCCTGAAAATTTGTTTCCCTTTCTGTGCTCTTTCATTTTCAGGATGTAACATTTTGTGTTGTATGTATCAGATCTTCTTGTTTAAAATAAACAATTTTAAAATGAGAACAGTGTTAGAACCTTTGAATACCACTAGGAGAGCTTGCCAGGAAAACCCTTGAGAAAATTCCTAATTTTGTATTAATTGCAGGTTTTGCTTGGAATGGAGTAAATAATACGTGAACCACACGTTGAATGATGAGAATTAAATGAAATACTAAATTAATTCAGTAAGCTCTCTCTCTCTTCAGCACATTAAATGAGACAGAAGGTCTATAAGAATAAAAAGTCCCATAAAGACCATCATTGACCCTGTTGATATCAGGATGCCAAAGGAAGATTGCAAAACAAGCTGTACTGCTGACACTTGATTTTACTTTCAGCTTCACTTTAAAAAATGTCTTGTTAAAAGCACATTCATCTTAGAAGTCAGTACTTGTATTTACCTTTTGTTAAAAGATGCATTCTGAAGATTCCGTTACCCAGTCTGTAAAATAGCTTGGAGGTCTTCAGATGAAAATCATCGCTGAGTTGAGAATAATTTGTAGGTATGACTAATGGGCTTCAGGGGCATTTCCTAGAATTTCTCACACATGCAAACCACAGGCATCATGCAGTAGCTGTGCTGTGTTCAGCAGTTTTGCTGAGTTTTGCCCTTTTTTTTTGCCATAAATCAGGATTTGTGCTTGGATATGGGAAGTGTTTTGGTTTTGAGTCTTTTTTTGCTGTCCTTTTGATCATGTAATTAGTGTTGTATGATCTGCGACAGTTAGTAACTCATTACCGTGTGTGACTACAGTCCACATTGCTAATAGAGAGCAGCAGGAAGGAGATGTATGATCAATAAGCAAATGAAATGTTAGAACGTGCACTTAACTGTAAAGAAACAAATAGTTTAAAGTCCAAACAGTTTAAAATCTTAACAGAGCTGTGAAGATGTAAACAGAGCATTGTGTGCACCATTTGAAATGGCTTCTGTTACAATATTTTTAAACACAGACTTGATAGAAGTTTTGTTTCTCTTTTTTAAAAGGGTCTTATATTCTTTTTGTAGCGGCGGGGAAGAAAAGGATTTTAGGTCTTCATTTCTAGATAATATTCAAAAGATTTTTTTTTTTTATATTATCATCTTTATAAACGTCTTGCTGGTCAGAGCCTTCCAGGAAGAAGAGAAACCATATTCTGACAGAAACACTATTCTGTAATGGCAAGTCCATTGTTCAGTATCTGTTAGTCAGAAAAAGAAATAAAATTGACATATTTTGGCTTTGTTTTGTCTCTTGTAGGTCACTCTTAAGATAATTTTTATTCAATATTAAAATAAGTGTCTTGTAGTCCTGCAAGGGAGCAAGTGGCACATCTTTTTCTTTTCTGAAGTGTTTATACTCCACTGTGTACGAGTTGTACGGCATGTTTAGGCGTTCTGGGCATGTGGTGTTTTGTGTAAAGGTACATGTGCTGGCTGGTTTTACCAGAGCTTGAAGAATTATATAATTTGCCAAGTTTTACAGACAAAATGGTATGTCATCATTTTAGCCAACTGGTCTTTGATAGCATTTCTTCAGCACTGTTCAATTTACCTTTTCTTAGGCACCCTAACACAGGCTGATGTATACTAATGCAGCAAGCAATTCAGGAATTCCACAGATGCAGCACATTTTGTCGAAGAACATAAAGCATTTCTAATTATATCAGTGCTCATTTTACTTCTTTCAGCAAAGTTTTTCTCCTGCATTTACATAGGAAAGCAAGCTATTCCCTGTGCTGATGATATGGCAACCCCTTGAATTTGCATGCTCTTTTTCTTTTTTTAAGGAACAAATAAAGCCTTTGCAAAATTATGTTAAACTCTGCTCCACTTGTGCCCTTGAGAAATTCCTTTGCAGTCATAATTGTGTATTTGGGCATAAGGTTTAGTAACTTGGATACTAGAAACTTCTGCATAAGAATTACAGTGTAAAAGTTTTTTGTCCCTCGTGTTATTATGTTTGTTGATGCTTAGTCAAAGTGTTAAAATCTGAAAAGTTGGGGTGGAATGAAGTGTAAAACAGAAGATCTTTGAACAAACAGTAAACTGTATGTCAGCTCTTGAAATAAGCTCTGTTTAAAAATGTTTTAACTTTTTTTCCAGAGCACACCTGCAACGTCAATACCAACAGTGCAAGTACAAGGCCAGCAGATCAATTTGCAGCCACCTTCATACACTGCAGCAAGTCAGCATGCAGAGCAAATGAAAAAACCTGGACAGAACTTCATGTGTCTGTGGCAATCTTGTAAAAAGTAAATGGCTCCTTTATTTAATTACCTTTTGGTAGTATGTAACAGATGCTTATATACAGAACGTGATTCTACAAGGTCTTTCCATTCAGTTTCTTTAAGTTGTCTTATACTTTGTCAGTGGGGAGAGAAAAGGTGAAAGCATTGAGGAAGCTGAACCTGAGGTTTAGGAGTGCAAGACATTTAACTGCTCTCAATGATACTTCACAGAGCATAAAATGAGTGTTACATGGCTTTCTTGTAATGCATTGATTCTTCAATGATAAAAAAAAACCCCTCCTGTAGTTAAGTTACGAAAGAAAAAAAAAATTCTAGCTCTGAAGCTTGTTCTCTGTGCTGCAAACAGAAACATAGTTGTGTACTCCAGTTACAAATCATGTCTTGACAATTTCTTGTGTTTCCAGCTTTTAATCTTTCTTGTGTTTCCAGTTCTGCGAGAGCAGGGTGTTGCAATTCCATGTCCTGGTCAAAGTCTTAGACTATGACTAATTTTAGTAATTATGATGCCGTTTGTGTGCCACAGGGCTCCATTGTCATGGAAGGAAATAGAAAGGAACATAGCTTTAGCAATGATTACAGTCTTAAAAATATGTTGTTGTTGTCCTTAAAAGAGAGAGGAGTGCTAGCAGAGTTTTGGATGTAGGCTTATGAAAACATGATGCTACCCTTGTTTTTAGTATGTATATCTTGATGATGATTTTAAAAATAACCTAAGTTTGTGAATGTGCTTTGTTTTCAGTGAAGGGTGTAGATTGGTGAAACAAATGCAGCTGTCAAATAGCCACTTTGAAAACGGTGAGAAAAATAGTGTAAGGTAAAGGATGGGTGTGAAAAAGGGTGACACGTGTCATCATTGTAGGACAAGGCAAAGGGAGAATAAAGACAAGCTGATTTGGTAGAAAGCTAGTGTTCAGACATTCACAAAGTTGATATGAAATGATGGAAAAGTTTGAATAATTGGAATCGATGGTGAAAAGTGGGGCATTTGAACAGAATTGAAAGAATACTGAAGGTTGATTAATCTGTAGACCCCTGAAGCTGCAACTTTGTTTCTGCCGTTCCTTCCAAACAGTTCAAAGGTCATTGAGTCAATGCAAGACGTGCAGGTTTTAGATAAGACTGACTGGTACTGAGAGATGTGGCACTTTCTAAATCATTGTCCCGTTTTCATCTTAAAAGTGATTTTTATTTCTTGGGAAGGTAACACTTCTCTATGTAAGAAATACAGATAAGGCTTTACTTGCTTTTTACTTTACTACTAACAAATACTACCACAGAGCCACACTCTACTGGCTCCTCAGTAGATGCATGAACACCGGCATTGGTACAAGAGCAGGTTGTGCTGAGGTGGAAGTGAAAACTTGGGGTGGTTTCTTAGCCAGTTTATACCAACTTGAAGAGTTATGGTTCAAAACTGTAGTTCAGCAAAGTTAGTCACCAACTTTATTCTATGTCTAAAGTTATATCAGATGAGTTGTATAGAGTTGAGGTGATGCCTAACACTAGAATAAGCTGATGTCACATGTGAACTAAGGATGCGAATATGTGCAGTCAGATTTTGGGCCAAGAGGAAGAGTAATATGATTATGATTACATTATCAATCTTTTTGCTGGTCTGTATTAAAATATTGTTCCAGTAAGTATGAAGGCCTTCAAAAACACTTTGAAGCAGAATAAATGCAAATTAATATAATAGTATGTTCTTTTTCTACCTGCCAACTGGGCTGCTGCAGCTGGCAACATTCTCGTGGTGTTGATGTGGGTTCTGCTGTTTTGTTTTTCAGAACCCAGTTGGGAAACACAATACCAGGATTTTGGAATAAAGTACAACAGATTTAGTAGTGTCTGAAGGCCACAACCAGATCAGGCCCAATTATGAAAATAGTTGTAATGACTGCCCTCTCAGAGATGTGTTCAGGTGTAGTATCTGGAGTGAAAGTAGACCTCTAAGAGGTGTGAGTGACTTTGCACTGAGGATGTTACAGAAAGTAGGTCTTTTCCGTTGAAGTTCGGCTGTCTGCCAGTGCTGCTAATTGTGTTCAGCTTAATTTAAATGCTGCTGTTTTGTTTCACAGGTAGGCAGAAGATGTCTGCTCTTGAGTTGCTTTGTATTTAAAAAGTAAATTAGAGATGCTGTTGCATCTGCACTGCCTGTGAAATCAGCTATTAGTTTAATGTTCTGTTCAGCAGCTGCAGAGAATGATGGAGAAATTCAGTGGGAAATGAGTCTAGACTTGACTGACCATATTCTCAGTACTTAAGCTTTTGTTTATTATTATTGCTTTGTTTAGGTGTTCCTTTAAGGAAAAATAGTTCTTCTTTGCAAAACGGTATTAAATTTGAATCTTAATTTCCTCACCACAGGGGTTGTCAGGCACTGGAACAGGCTGCCCAGGGAAGTGGTTGAGTCACCATCCCTGGAGGTATTTAAAAGATGTGCAGATGTGGTGCTTAGGGACATGGTTTAGTGGTGGTCTTGCAGTGTTAGGTTAACATTTGGACTCGAAGTTCTTTTCCAGTATGATTCTATAACACCAAATGCATTGTACAATGGCTGGAGCAAAATAGCTGAAACTGCTTTATTTTTCTTAAAGCCTTGCCATGTTGAATAAAACATTTTAAACTACATTTTGGATTTCACTTATGCCTTGAAACTTTTCATCCATGCCTGGAATTATCTAAAAAATATGTTTGTGCCCAGCTTAGGTTTACACACTGACTTCCCTTTTATTGTGGGAAGACATCTTTCTGTCCTCTGAAACATCAAATTTCTCTATTGAACCAAAGTAGAGGTAAAACATTTTGTTTTCACTTCCTAGTATGGTCTATCTGGACTAAGAGCAAGATGCATGTGTTCCTCTTCCTCACCTTCCCTTCAGCAAGAGCTGGCTGGCATGGAAAAGATGAATGGTTTTTAAGAGAGCAGTATTTATTGCCTATGCAGAACGCAGTTGCTGTATTACAGGTGGATATCCCCGTAGGATTCAGTTCAGCTAAGGGTTGTCTCGGGGTGAAATTAACGCTTCGGCACCTTCATGGGGTTCAGGTAACGGTCATGTCCACTCAGGCCTACCTGTCGATGGCAAGAATGTTTGCCTAATGGACACTGTTGAAATGAGCAAAGCACCTACAGATCTGCTGTTCATTTCTGACTTGAACTTGTCCATAAATGACTGATGTAGGTTTAAGATCATCTTTGTCTGCTTGCTCTACGTCTCTGACTGGAGGTCGTGTCCCTCTTGGCACCATTAAGCCCAGCGAGTTCAGTCACACGTCTTTACCCAAATACTTCTCTTGTTAACTGACACTAAAACACTGACATGCGACCCAGAGTGGCTGAGGTGGGTGCTTGTGCTTCCTGTTCAGTAAGGCTGCTGTGCCAGTGGCGCTTGTCCAGCAAGTGTGTGAAGGCAGCTGGTGGTAATGACTTCCCAAATGGCAGCGGCTGGGTTGCCTGACCTCTTCTGTCCAAGTCTTAAGTAGGTGTTGATGAGCTGGGTTAGTTGTATTGAAATGAATTGTGAGCAGCTAAGTCTTTAGCTTATTTTGTCCATTTTTTGTGTCTTGAAGCAAGTGATGTAATTCCTAAAGCTCCAGAGGTGTTTTAAGGTGTATCTAGACTGAAAAAAAACCTCACCACACTTTGAGTCACTCACTATTTTAATTCGGTAGTTTTTGAAATGTAGTGATTCTCCATTATCGTGTGTTACACGTTACAATAACACATCTTTTGTCTGTGTGACAGTATGAAAATAGAGATCTAAGAACTGTTGATTCCCCAGTGTTTTGAGGTGACATTCACAGTGAGTTGTAACTTTTCTACCGCTTTGAAGTGGAAGAAAGCCTTTGTCAGGCTGAACGTACTGTAAGGTGTGTCACACTTGTGCTTTCACCAAATAGAACATGCAGAAACCACAAAATATACTGTCAAGAGTATCACACGACCAGGGTTAGGACAACTTACTATTTCCTATTGATGTAGAAGCACTTAATTGGCTGAAATACTTCCTGTCCTGTGCTTTCGGGGTGTCAGCAGGCAAAGTGCTTAAGTTGAGGTTTTGGAAATTTGTTTTCACTTGGTGGAACAGGTTGCCCAGAGAGGTGGTAGGTGCCCCATCCCTGGGAACATTCAAGGTCAGGTTGGACAGGGCTCTGAGCAACTTGATCTAGTTGAAGGTGTCCCTGCTCACTTCGGGTGGGTTGGCTTAGATGACCTTTAAAGGTCCCTTCCAACCCAAAGCATTCTATGATTCTGTGACTTAAAAACTGAGTTTTAAGTGAAGATATTAAAAAGGCTAGTGTAAGTGACATTTTTCAACTTCTGTTGTACATCAGGAAATTATATCTCACTGTTTCCTCAATGTTTAGAATTCAGGTGCTGAAGGGCACTAATGTTAGATTGGTCTCTTACTCCATCTGTTTTGATCTCGAGGGCAAATAGGATGAATGGTGTGCATCTCTTCTTCCCAGTTTAAGTGAGATCTGATTATGACTGCCAGTAAAGAAGAGAAATGGAAAAGGAATACATGAAACGCAACTTTTTTAGGTGTTCATAGTTTATTACTGTATTTTGTTTGTATTGCAGAGAATGGCTCTGCTGGAATTAGTGTGCATTATTTCTTTGGTCAAGAATAAATAGAAAACCAGAACCATGATATTTCAATTGGATTTGGCAAAATCATATTGCCATTTATTGGTAGCTCATTGGTTATGTATTTCTCCTTTTAAAACTTTATGACCTTTCCTTTATCAATGTGTGTCTCATTTCAAAAAATAAAAATGTTTAGCCAGCATGGGTTTATGTTTGTGATATTTGTGCTTTACCATTAACAGGGAAAAGCTTTAAATTCCCTTCCTCCTCTTTTTGTAGGTGGTTTCAGACACCATCACAGGTTTTCTATCATGCAGCAACTGAACATGGAGGAAAAGATGTCTACCCAGGGCAGTGCTTGTGGGAGGGATGTGAACCTTTCCAGCGGCAGCGGTTTTCCTTCATTACCCATTTACAGGTGCAGATTTTCCTTCCATATTACTTCAGAAAACAGTAAGAGTGTCATGGTAAATTTTCGCACACCTTTCTCACTGTCTTTTTCTTCTCCCCACACAGGATAAGCACTGTTCCAGAGATGCTTTGCTTGCAGGATTAAAGCAAGATGAACTTGGACAAGCAGGAAATCAGAAGCCTTCCAACAAGTAAGATCCTTGTTAGCAATAGAGAAAACAAAAGAACTAGAAATTAATGGAAGAATTTGCGTGTTTATAACTTGGCTTATCAGATGAAACTCTGTGTGTAAAGTCCATAACAGAAACCAAATTTGAGATACCTTACACAGACATTATATGACAAAACAGTCGAGAGGGAATAGATTCTGATGTGGGAGATGTGGTTGCAGCTATAAAGAGCAAGTATTATAAAAAGATGAGGTAATTCTGTAAGGTACATGGATCAGTACTCTGTGATGAATGTTGTTCTCAACATACTCTCCTGGACAGCATTTTATAACTTTTATTTTAACAGGAAGGTCTTTCTAATCCAAGTGGAAAATTATTTGTTGTGTACAGTTCAGCCGTTCCATACAGCTGAGATGGATTCTCTTGTAACTTGCTGTAATCCTTCCCTTTTTCTGATCTAAATTTGGGCTGATTTGATCCAGGAACTCTTGTAATAAACTTCCCTTTAAACAAGCAAACAAGATAAATAAGAACTCCTCCGAGTCTTCTAATTTTGTACTGCAACCTGGAATCATCTTTGGCTCTCCTCTTTCCCAAAAATATTTCAACCATCTGGAATTAATAGGGGAGAGTGCAACCCCATTGCTGCGGGGTTGGCTATGTTAATATTGGAGTTATTCAGGGTTCAGTTACTTGTATAAAGACTAGGTCTTTGTTAGTAACTAACTGTAATCTCTTTGTTGTAAGCTAAAGATGTGATTACGTGGTCCCAAGCAGATTTTTGCAGTCTGTTCTGTGGCTCGTTACATTGCTAGCAGGCTGCTGGAGGCAGCAGGGAAAGTTGAGTATGAAAGCTGAGAAATTTACTCTGAGAGTAATTTTATTTTTTAGTATAAACAAACTTCTTAACACGGACTTAATATTGCTTTACGGTGCCTTGTTCCATTACACTGGACCGCATTCAGACCTTGACTCTCCCTGTCTCACATACTTGGTGAGCGGGAAGTGTAGGGCTGATACTGTCTACTAGCATGTTTTGAGCCCATCTCTGCCTCTTCAGAAGTGTTCCATCGCACAGGTAACACATCCAGTACCTCTTTTGTCTTCACAGGCTTCTTTACAAGTGGCAAAGATACTCGTGTTCATACATGCCCTCTTCTGAAGCAGAATTCCCTAATTAGGTCAGATTCAGAAAGTAGGAATTTATTCATAACCGTTTCTCACTAAAATACTGAGACTGCAATATCACAAGATCCTAAGGATGTGGTTTGAGAGTACAAGTTGAAATAAGATCATTCCACTACTCAAAGTAGGATATTTTGACTCTCCCTGCCATCCCTTCTTCCTTCTTGTGGCCTGTGCACTGCTTACAGTGAGAGAACTAGCTTCAGTTTTTCTCTGATTGCATGGCAAATCAATTCTGTTTTGAAATAAAACCAATTAGTCAAAAAAGTGGGTTTGCCAGGTGAGTGGTGGAATACCTTTGTCCTGCAGTCAGTTGGACACCACAGTGCTGGAGTTGGGCTGGAACAAAACAGGGGGATGAGACCTGTCTCTGTTAGTACTGACAACAGTTAATACTTAGTAGTTTTATGAAAACATAGAGATTCCCTGTCCATTACATTTACTCTCTTCCCTCGTGTCTCTATTACTCCTCTTTTACCAAAAAAAGAAATCAGCAAAAAGGAATATTTTGATTATATGTCCTGTGTAACCCACATAATCTTCCAGCGCTGCTGTGGGCAGTTATGTTCACACAACTGAACAGAGCATCTAGCTGCATGAGGGACCTGAGGCTTGATCATTTGCTTTCCAAAATCAGTGACTTGTCCAGTGAAACCCTAAGCTTGCTCCAGCAGATTACCTCAAGTAAGCTTTATGTGGTCATGTCTGAAGGTTGATTTACAAGGTTTTGGATTAATTTACTTCCTTTTGGAGTCCTAGAAACTTGTCAGATATATCAGCACACCACTTGATAGTCCACATGACTAAACTCTTGTACAGAGTTCACACAACTTAAAAAAAATGGCGCTAGATGAAGCATGTGTAAACTCTCAACTTTTAGGCATTAATTAGCCCAAATTCCTTCATGTAATACCTCACCAAACTGCAGCTACCTCAGAGAGTGCAGGTAGAGTGAGTGTTATTGGTGCCAGAAGTAAAATCCATAACAAGCAAGGGCCCATTCCCTTCTTCATCATTTCTGTGTATCATAAAATCATACGTAATTGAAAAAAATCTGCAGTGGCTTTTGCTAGAACCAGGTAGGCAGAGTTAAGCTGCATTGCAGAGTTGGTTGTACACCTTAATTCTGTATTTCTTTGCTTTTATAATTGTATTTTATTAACTCTTCTGGTATTCAGAGGTAGCTAAAATATTACATTCTGGAAGGTCAGGTAGCACTGGCAACTAACTGTATGTCAACTGTAGCTTTGTCCATTTGAATCCTTTTGGATTCATATTGATTTTTTTTTTCCTTGTTGCAACTGAAATAAAGGTGGGAGTGTAAGCTGCCAAAAATATTCTTCATGCACTGTGGTAGTGGGGCAGGAGATAACTTTAAATCAGAAGATGAATGGTATGGTTTGAAGTTAAGCTGATAATATAATTAAAGAAATTCAAGAAATGTAGATGTTTCTTAAGAGAGATACTTGCCCATAGACACAAGTCAGTCCTCTTGATGTCTCAGAGACTTTTCATCAACTTGCTTTTTTCCAAAACCAAAAGGAGAAGACGATCTTTTAATATCTTCATGATTTATTGCAACTGTCCCTTTTTCAGTATTTGTAGAATCAAGGCAATAGTATTTAAGTTTCCAAAATACAGTATGATAGCTGTTAAAGAGAGATGTTTGGAACACCCTCCACTGGTGAATCCTTGTTCTTCTCAACATAAAGAACACAAAAACATTCCAGAAATTAAAAATGAAGATAACTTCTTTACTGTGATACTTGGTCTCTTACAAATGTGTGTCATTGCCCAACAGTTCATTAACTCAGCCTCTGCACTTGTCCCTTTACTTCATAAAGGCTTTCCAACTCTTATTTCCATTCCGAGGAGGATGACAGTGTGATAATGAGCTAAGTTCTTAGGGAGGAGTCTGTCTGTTACTACTTCTTAATTTTCTGGTTTGTGCTTTAAAGCCACTCACATGAACCCTTTTTTCTAATTTTTAGGTCAGCTTCCTTGCTGTTTGGAATTGCAGATTATGCAGAAAGTCTCTATGAATAGAGAATTCAAGTTTTATTCTTAGAATATTCACTTACAGTGAAAGATGCCAAAATAATACTTACAGGCTAACTTTAACTTAAAAAAAAATAAAACTTTTACAATTTGATTTATGCTACCTTTGCAAGCAAGCACTACTTGGACTTCTAATCAGCTTCTACAAGGGTATTAAAAGACTTCATAATATTATTCAGTGTATTGAAACGTGGTGATATTTTTCACCATCAATACTGCAAAACTTTACTTTGAGATGATGAGTCTTATGAAATGAAGTTGCATATTTATACATTCTAAGCTCTAACTGTACAAGTAATGTCAATTCTCTAATTCAGTGTTCTAAATTAAATAGAGCTTTGACTTTAGCATGGATATTGAAAATGGATAATTTGCTTCCACTATATTTATTTGTACCAGCTTTATAAAATACCCTGCTTAATTTATTAATCTCAGTCTGAAAGCTGCAGTAACAGGTAATTGGGTTTACAAATGTTTGATCTGATTTAAAAATTAGATGGTTTATGTCTTAGATCATAACCTAAATCTTATTACTTTATATTGCTCCTCACTAACCACAGTTAATGCGTATTTTATATCGTCTTAGTGTCTAATGGTCCCAGTGAGCCATGTGAGGTTTTGAATAGCTGTACTTTAAGGACATTCTCTGGCCAAATCTCAGATGACATTTGTATAGCTACTATCACAGTTCCTGTTAAAACCTGTTTGTTAAAACATTACTTTAAATAGGTACACTTCAGGAAGTGGCTGTGCCATTAGTACAATGTATTTCTTTTCCATCATGAGTGTCATGGGTGATGAGCAGCACTTCTTCAAGGGAAGTGTTTTTTTTCACATAAAATAAAGCCAGTGACTCTTCTGAAGGGTTTGCAATAAGATTTATCTCTGTGGAAACAAAAGACAAATCATGTAGCAACACCAAGTATTAATGGATCGCTGTCTCTCTGTTCAGATAAGTTAAAAAATTGTAGAATAATTTTTCAGAATTGTTAACCTTCTTAGAAAGTGATGCAAAGCTTATTTTTATTAATTCTTTCTTTACTAATGTAGGCAGCCAGCTGCAGGGGGTACTGCCCCTACTCCCAGAGCACAGAAGGCCATTGTGAATCATCCAAGTGCTGCCCTAATGGCATTAAGGAGGGGATCAAGAAACCTTGTCTTCAGAGATTTCACAGTTAGTATTGTTTGATTCAAGGATTAGATACTGTTGGCTGCTGCTACAGGGCTTTCACATTTATGGGTTTTTGTCTCTTTACTTTTGTAGGATGAAAAAGAGGGACCAATAACTAAACACATCCGATTAACAGCTGCCTTAATATTAAAAAATATTGGTAAATATTCAGAATGTGGTCGCAGGTAAGCATTGTACGATTCTTCAAATACCAGTGGGGAATGTTGTTTCTGCTCTTAAAGTACCAAATTTTAGGTATGTTTTACCTATCTTGTAAAACCAAAACCAAAAACCAAAACCAACCAAACAAAAAAAACCACAAACAAACATAACAACCAAAAAAACCCCACCATCCACCCAGTACAATTCGTGTATCAATTTTGCACTGTTGAGGTTCCCACACAATTGCCTAAGCCACTATTTGTGAGCCACACTTTTGAAATGTCTGGTAAATTTGACAGGTGAAATTTCTGGAGACAGATGAGAGGAGCCTTTGCTGTGGGCCTGTTGCTTTTCCTCCCAAAGGCAGTACTGCATAACTCTGAAAATGAATTCTTCTGTAAGCAACTTCCCATTGGCAATAGCCTTTTATCTCAACTTCAGAAAGGGGTGAATGAGTTCTTACGGACATTTACTTAAGCTGTGGAGTGGCACACAGCTGCAGTCTGTACTTGCTGCCTCTCTGTTGCTTTCCCTTACAAACTTGGGTTAGCTCTAAGAAATTACTTGGTCAGATTTCTCTCATGTGTAGAAGATCCTTCAGTAAATAAGCAGACCAATATTGACTTGTGGTATTAAGTAGGAAATGTTCTTTATGATGCAAAAGGAGTAGTAGTTGCTTACTGTGTCACTGATCACAATGCATGCTGCTTCTGTTTTTTCCAAGAATCATAGAATCATTAAGGTTGGAAAAGACCTCTAAGATCAAGTCCAGCCATCAACCCAACACTACCATGACCATTAAACCACATCCCATAGTACCACATCTACACATTTTTTGAACCCCCCCAGGGATGGTGACCCCAGCACTTCCCGGGGCAGCCTGTTCCAATGCCTCACCACTCTTTCAGTAAAGAAATTCTTCCTGATATCCAATCAAAACCTCCCCTGGCACAACTTGAGCCCATTTCCTCTTGTCCTATCACTAGTTACCTGTGAGCAGAGACCAACACCCACCTCACTACAGCCTCCTTTCAGGTAGTTGTAGAGAGCAATGAGGTCTCCCCTCAGCCTCCTCTTCTCCTTACTTACAAGCTGAGTGTTTTCTTGGTTTTGTTTTGCATTCTTTCAGCTTCATAATAACAGAAGTAATGATTTCTAATAAATCTCTGTTCAATATTAATGTTGTCTGTTCTTAAAAAATGTGTCAATAGGGAGAGTTTCCTAAGTACAGTTGTAAACAACAGAGTTTCAATACTGGTTGTAGAAACCCTCCTGCTGTCTTCAGCTACCTAACTGGGGGTTGTAGTGAAGACAGGCAAACACTTTTTGGAGTGCGTGGTGGAGGATAAGGGGAAATGAGCAGAGGCAGCAGCAAGGAAAATTCCAATTAGATATTGTGAGTAAAAATAATAATCACAAGAATTGATTGAACATAGGAACAAGTTCCCCAGAGAGGCTGTGCAGTCTCTATCCTCTTAGATATTCAAAGCCCAACTGGCTATAATTCTGAGCAATGTGGTCTA